CTTCGGCTTAGGTCGTGATCTCAGAGTCCTGGGATCGAGCCCCGCATCGGGCTCTCTGCTCTCTAGGGGAGCCTGCTTCCTCCTCTCTCTCTGCCTGCTTCCTCCCCTCTCTCTGCCTGCTTGTGATCTCTCTGTCAAATAAATAAATAAAATCTTAAAAAAAAAAAAAAAAAAGAAGTCTTCCCTGACCTGTGCCAAATTAAGTCTCCCTATTTTAAGCCACCATAGTACCATTTACCTTTGCCCTCATGGCATCGATCATGGCTCCAAATTTACTTTTATTTGCATCATTATAATTGAGCTTACTATCACATTAATGGTATTTGAATCGTTAAATTATGAATGAAATTCGTTGCTACATTATTATTACACTTACTTGTATCATGATTGCACTTATATATCATCTTGCTGGTGGCTGGCTCCCTGACTGTAAGCTCCCAAGAGAGCAGGGACCTGTTTTTATCTTTTTTGTTCCATCTCGTGTTACCAGGTCTAACACAGTGCTTGACACATAGTAGTTGTTCAGCCAGTATTTGTTAATCCGTATTTCTAACCTCTGGAAAGTTCGAGGGGATTTGAAGCTTCCCAACCCCAGAGCCTCGGTAAGGAAACCCGGGTTGCTTGTGGTGCAAAGTGAACACTGTAGCAATATTTGGGGAGGCGGCGGAACCCCGCCCCTTTACAACAACTAAACAAAATGAGCTCCGAAGTAGCTCTAAAATACTCTCCCGGAGCGGAGACACGGATTGCAGCAGAGGCATGTGCTTCAGGGCAGGAGCTGGAACAAACCCTGCAAATATCTGGCGCGCGTAGCCGGGCGTGCCAGCTGGAGGCTGCGCCGGGACAGCCCCCTCATTTCTCCCGCGCGAAACCCGGCCGGACGGCTCCACTCCCTCCCTCCGTTGCAGGGGGGAGCCCGGCGCCCCCGCACTGGCAGCGCCACGGGCCGCGCCCATCGGCAGCCCCCTCTCACGCCGCGGGCGAAGCCAAGTGTCCCGGTGGCGAAGTTTGGTCGGAGACCCGAGCCCCGCAGCCGGGCGCAGCGGCGCCGAGGGAGCGGTGCGGCGCTCTCCCCCCCTGTCCCGGGCGCCGAGTGCGCCCCTCCCCCCGGCCCGCCGCAGCTCTGGGCGCAGCGCGCGGGCTGCGCGGCCGCGGGTGTTCTGCTTGCACCGGAGCCGTGGCGAGCCAGGCTCCCGTAGCCGCGTACTAGGAGGAGGCCGGAGCCCGGGTGGGAAGAATGGAGTTGGCGTCTCGCTCCCAGGTGAGGGTCCCGGCGCCCGCCCCAGTCCGGACGCCGCCCGGCCCGCCTGCCTTTTGCGTCCTGCCTTCCTCCCTGCTTGGGGCTGGAAACGTGGTCCTTGGCCACCGCGTTGCGGACCTGGCCAGCCTCGCCCCGGGAACGCCGGAGCGGGCGCGCCCTGCAGGTGTGCGCGGTGGGTCAGCGCGGTGGGGGCCGGGATGGAAGAGTCTGGGCGTTTCCCGCGCGGCGGTGGCCTCCGTCCCCGTGGGATCCTGGGGGTAGCAGGCCGGGCCGGTGGAGCCGCGAGCCCCTGGAGTGGACGCGTTTCGAGGGAAGCGCAGGCGGGAGGCGGCAGGGGCGTAGCGCCTGCGTTTGCAGCGCTAGTGGATCTGGTGTGGAGGGGTGGACGGTGTGCGGGGAGCTTTTCTGGTGAGCTCCCCCCACTTTCTCCGGGAATTGGCACAGAGATGAGGAAGTTTCAGAAAAGTGTAATTTTTCTTAAAAAATAGCTGGGAGTCCAGTTCAACTTGGATGAGGGAGTGTAATTTACAAGGAATTGCTCTTGTATTTGTTCTAGAACTTTTCTAAGTGTTTGCAAGGAATTTGTAAGCACTTGGAAGGGGAAATGGCAACGTCATGAGGCCAAGTTAAAAAACAAAAAGCCCCGAGATCGCAAGTCATAAACACAGCGGGACCCCAATTACGCTTTATGGTCCACACTGGGTTTTAAAAATCTCATTCACAAACACTTGAGAGTACCCCTCCTCCAAATGTTTCCGGGGTTGGTGGGAATGTGAACGTGACTTCAGTGTTCTATTCTACTTCTTAAAAGAGCTTTTCCTTACTTTCTAGTAACGAATATACCTAGTATTTTCAGAGGTAAGCAATACCGACTTTTTTTTTTTTTTTCCAAATGAACTAAATATAAAACTTTTAGAAAGGGAAGGAAATAGCTTGTGGGAGACCGAGAGAGGTTTGTGACGGTTGGATTTTTTTTCTTGCTTTTGTGAGTGCCATTAACTCACCGCTTCCACTTTACCTTGGACTAGTAGTGTTTTCCTCCTTCTCCACCTGGGTGCTGGGAGAAAGGCGGGGCTGCGGGCGTATCCTTGGGAAATGGAAGCGACCCAGCCAGTCAGTCGTGCCTGAGCCCAGACCGCTATCACCTGCCTGGGTCCTGGCGCCAATTAAAGACAAAACTACTAATGGTTGGTCGTTTTGGCCATGTAGTGATGTCCGAAAGGCTTCCTGAAATTAGACATTTGAGAAAAAATTGTTGTGGGTGTTGATGAGAAAGAGTACTGTTTTTGAATTTCCCCAGTGAGGGGGAGGTATTAAAAGGAAGGAAAAGAAACAAGAGTAAGAACTGAGTCAGCTTTGTGTTTTATTTTCCACTGACCTTTACCGTATAATTAATATCCTCTAGGAATTAACCATTTCTGCAAGGAGCTTGGAGCCCCATATGAATTTCATCAGACAATGTATCTGGATGACATAGGACTCAGGAAACCTGTTCTGCTCCAACTGTACTCCCACCACTTAAATATACAGTCTATGTTTAGTTTCAAAATGTCCCCAGAATGTATGGTCGGGAGTGAACCTTTTACCATCAAATAATAAGGCTAATTTTTGGTACTTCTAAAACGTTAAATAAACTATTTACCATGTGGGGGTAATCCACAAATTATATCTGATCCATTATACACCAATTAGGGCAAATTACTATATGTAAGAGGACCAGGTTTGTTTTTTTCCCACCCTTTTCCAAAGACCTAATTTGCAGCACAAATTGAGATGCATGACGATTTTTCCAGTGAAAATGTTCCTGTTCATTATAATTCAAATGTGAGCAGATTATAGTCTCTCTAAATTAGCGGAGAGGTTCTTGGGGTAGGCAGGTGACTGCCAATAGGAACACTAACGAACATTTCAGGCACAGCAAGATGTTAAATTTGTGCGGTCCTCCCCTGTCCCCCAGCCTTATGAATAAAGCAGTGTGATGAACCGCCTGGGGTGAACTTAGTGCACAGTGCCTTTTACTCTCACACATACAATCAATAGAATTTCCATCCCTTGGAAAGGACAGAGTGGGAAGGGCTTCCAGCAAAGCAGCCTATGTTATGAGAAGACCGTGATTTAAACCGAAGTCCTTTCTAGTTTCTGCTTTTTTGCAGCCTCAACCATTGTCGGGTTTGCTGTCCACTGACTCGGACCACAGCTTCTATGGGTGTAGTCCTTGTTGGGCTGACCACTATGTCTTTGTGTCTTTCTGTCGAATGACCAGAGTAATACTCTGGTAAAGGGGAGGGTATGGTCCCTTTCTGAGAGCAGTTGGCAGTGCAGCTAAGAATTTCTGGAGGATGAGACTGCCTCCGCCTCCCAGCAGAGGAACCAGCAAGTCCTGGCTGTCAGTGTTGTCCTGTGACTCTCTTCTTGCTCTAGGGTGCAGACTGGACTCTCATAAGGAATGAAGCAGATGGTCTCAGGAACGGGTCTGGTGCACGCTGCTGGCGTGGTAAAGAGGAATTTCTCTGGTGCTGACCTCATAGCTACAAAGAGTCCTCTTGATTCTCTGTCTTAAAGTTTGTGCCCACAGAAAGCTGCTCACAGAAGGGGATGGTTTGTCACTTCTTGGAAGGACAGCACAGTGATTTGCCATGCACTGAATTCTCAGTAATGAAAAATTTCAGAGATCACATCAATTCTGAACTGATCGGGCACATGGGACAGAAATCCACGAGATAATGATGTGACTTAAAACAGTTTATGTATATTACGGTAAACTAATGAAAAAGATCAATAAAGCCATTGAAATAGAACAGGCATATTCATTTAAACTGTCCTTGAGAGTTCTGCTTTACCCATCAGCACTTTGTCTGAGCTACAGTTTGCAAATTTTACCTCCAAGACACGATTTTGTTTCATAGAAGATAGCTTTATTCACCAAAGTAAGATTGATAAGAGTAAGACAGCATTAGTAGGACTGTTTTCTTTTGGGAAAGCAGTGGTTTCTGAATATTTTATTTTTTAGGTTTTTAATTTGAGTTCCAGTGCAGTTAACACACAGTGTTTGTTAGTTTCAGGTGTGCAATACAGTGAGCCAACAATTGTGTACACTACCCAGGGCTCATCATGAGAGCTGCGCTCTGAACGGCGGTTACCTCTTTGACCCATTCCTCACCCAGCTCCCCTTCGATGGATGAACTGATGGACAAACCATCAGTTTGTTCTCTCTCTGAATGTTTGTAAGTAGGATCACGCAGAGGCATATTTGGTAACTATAGCTGAAGATAACGTGCAGAAGACTTTGTCTCCCACAGTGGTAAATGCTGCCATTGGTATGCAGTGCAGAAGCACCATGTGGAGTCTCACAGTTAAAGGGACCAGAGTTAGTTCACAGAGCTGATGGTTTCCTGCCTGTTCTTAATCATCAGCTCATGACAGAGGGCTCCCTGCTTTGAGCACTTACTGTGTGCTGGGTACTAAGGTCGGTCTGGAACGCCTTGCCTCTTCTGCCTTTGCCAGAACTCAGCTGGCCCCTGCCGTGCTTTTGGGACCTACAAGGCCCTAGGTTTTGGGAATGGGAGAAGACCTGAAGAGCCCCCATCCTCCGCCTATGATAACTCATTTCCTTTTATCAGATTTAGTCCTCACTGTAGTTCCAAAATGGCTTGTATTATCTATATTTTAAAGATAAGGTGAACTAGAGCCATTTGCTCTGGGCAGCGCAGCCAGGAAGGGCCTGAGCCAGGATTCTGTCCTCAAGAGCCAATGCCTGACTTGGCCAGTAGATTCACGGGATCTTGGCAAGTCACTACTTTATCTGAAATCCTTGCTTAAGTAAGGACATGCTAAGTATAATATATTATTTAAATATAAGAGGTTGTCAGCACATTGGGGTTTTCTCCTAACACCTTTGCTCCTCCCTTTAACTGGAAGAGCTGGGGCATTAACAGCAGCTGGTCTGGTTCTTTTTTAGAGACTAGACAGGTGAGGCTTTGGACAGGATTCCTTGATACTGACTGTAACAGTCGGCATTGGAATATGAATCAGATCCAGAAGGCTTTTACATAGGAACAATATTTAGATGAATTTTGTATTGTACAAGTAATATCGGGTTCGCAGAAGCTGAAATAAAAACGAAGTTGGAACTACTGTTCTATCTCCCCTACTCCCTGGGTGTCATTTTCTAGATCTTTCCCATCCAGTGTTTGCCTGTGTTTAGTCACCATTTTTGCCTAATTTTACGGTATGATGGCACTTTGAATTCCGCTGTCTTTAGCCCTGCCAGTGCTATTTCTGAGTAGTTCGGAGGTCTTCACGGTTTTCATTTTTTTTTTAAAGATTTTTATTTATTTATTTGACAGAGAGAGATCACAAGTAGATGGAGAGGCAGGCAGAGAGAGAGAGAGAGAGAGAGGGAAGCAGGCTCCCTGCTGAGCAGAGAGCCCGATGCGGGACTCAATCCCAGGACCCTGAGATCATGACCTGAGCCGAAGGCAGCGGATTAACCCACTGAGCCACTCAGGCGCCCCACGGTTTTCATTTTTAATGACTGTGGCCTTTCACCGTGGTGTGTATTTTATGTACTTCTCTGTTGAAATTTTTTTTCTTTATTAGAAGGAACTTTTCAATAAATGTCTTGAGCTGGTACATGCCTTGTGCCCTGTGTTGGAGTCCACGCTGTTTTTATTATTTTTTTTTATTTCTTATTTTTTTAAAGATTTTATTTATTTGAGAGAGAGCATGAGAGGGGGAAGGTCAGAGGGAGAAGCAGACTCCCTGTGGAGCTGGGAGCCCAATGTGGGACTCGATCCTAGGACCCTGGGATCATGACCTGAGCCCAAGGCAGCAGCTTAACCCACTGAGCCACCCAGGCGTCCCCACGCTATTTTTAATTATGATTTCTTTCTTTTTTTTTTTTTTTTTAATATTTTGTTTATTTGACAGAGAGCTAGAGAGAGAGCACAAGTAAGCAGAGCGGCAGGGAGAGGGGGAGAGAGAGAAGCAGGCTCTCCGCT